GTGGGGACATTTCAATGGTCGGAGGATATTGGTGGGGACACATCCCCTCCGTCTACCCTAAATCTACGCCCCTGATCCAAACAACATGTAAAATTAAAACATTGTGTCCTGCCCCGATAGTCCTCTCCTTCCGTGTGCTACGCCCCTTCGTTAACCCCGTGTGGGATCCCCGTGTGATCAGCTGTTTCTGGTTGTTGTCATTAGTCCTCTGTATTTAGTCCGCGTTTCAGTTTGTTTCCCCAGTCCGGTTGTTGTATTGTCTGTCTGCGTTTTGCCTGCTTTACCTGTAATTAAACCCAATATTCCCTGATACCCTGACGTCTGCGCCTTTGTCTCCGTTCCGTCCCCGCTCGGCAGGACAATATCATTATGATTAAATGTATTAATGGTTTATTATTAATTATATTAAAATAATTAATTAGAAATCTTTATCTTAAAATGTATTTTATTATATAATAATTACTGTTACTGTCTGTCATTGTCTAAATGTATTTTTACTGTCTAAATATGTATTCAGCTAGTGTAAACATGCACGATGCTATCACAGTGAATACGAAGCTGAGACTGAAGTGTTACCCTTTGTTTCCGCCGAGAGACGTGCCGCATGACTCATTTCCCCGCCGAACAAATTATCTTAGGTCGGCGTTCACGGTTGGACTTCTGAGATTCAGATCGAGTTCTAGATCTTTTTTTTCGAACTGGTTGGTTCAACTTTTAAGAAATTTGAGTTCTAATGAGTTCGAGAACTGAGGTACCACTGTAATTTTATTTTGTATTTACAGTTATTTTGTCCTCTAAATACAAATTGTAAGGGAGATGCTGATCCATTTTAGTAACTGTAGATCAAACAATTCAGCTACAGTTATGCGAAAAAATTAGGACATCCATTAAATATTTAGTACTTGATTAAGAAATATCAACATATCAATATTAAATCTGTCACGTCCGTGCAGGCAGGCGAGCGGGGAAGCAGGCGAGTTGAGCCGGACCGACAGGTAAACGGGTTTATTGTCAACACAAGGGCAGACATCCACGAACTTTACGACAATACAATGACAAATCTGGGGGATAACAATTGACACACGGACTAAATACACAAGACTAGGCAAAAGGAACAGGCAACAGGTGAGTACAATCAGGGATTAACACGAGGTAACGAGGTGGGCGTAGCACACACGAGGATCGGACGGACCTGGGCATGACAAAATCTTGTTTCAAATTATATTTGTAGATAAGGGTGATTTAATTGCATGACCGATGAAAAAACAAGAAACAAATTCACTTGTTTCACAAAAGAAATTAACTAAGATGCCAATGCTTACTGAGGAAAAAGTTAGGACACCCTGTGCCCTAATAGCTAGTATTTCCCCCTTTGGCTGAAATAATTTCAATGAGACGTTTCTTATAACCATCTATCAATCTCTGACATCGACTGGCAGAAAGTTTCCCCCACTCTCCAATGCAGAATTCCTTAAGCTGTCTGATATTTGAAGGGTGTCTTGCATACACTTCCTCTTCAAATCACCCCACAGCATCTCAATAGGATTCAGGCTTTGACTTGACTATTCCAGAACTCTTTCTTGTAAACCATTCCTTGGTAGATTTACTGGAATGTTTTGAGTCATTGTCATTTGCATGATCCACCCCAACTTCAGCTTCAACTTTTGGACAGATGATCTCACATTGCCCTCAAGTACCCTCTGATATGATGAAGAATTCATAGTAGATTCAATGATAGTGAGCTGGCCAGGTTCTGCTGCAGCAAAGCAGCCCCAAACCATGACATTTCCACCCCCATGCTTCACAGCTGGCATGAGGTTATTTTGCTCAAAATATGTCTTTGGTTTACACCAAACTGTCCTCTGTTACTATGTCCAAATAATTCAATTTCAGATTCATCTATCCAAAGCACATTGTTCCAATTGTCCCGGTCTTTGTCTAGGTGGGTCTCTGGCAAACTTCAGTCTTGCCCTGGTATTTTTTTGACAGCAAGGGTTTCCTCCTTGCACAGCTCCAATGTAAACCAAACTTGCAGTCTGTTTCTGATGGTTGATGCATGTACCTTGATATCAACTGTGGCAAGAGCTTCCTGTATGACTTGTTATGACATTTTAGGATTTTTGGAGACTTATTTCAGCATCTTGGGGTCTGCTCTTGGGCTGAACTTGCTAGGACAGCCTGCCCTGGCCATACTGACAGTTGTTTTAAATGTTCTCCACTTGTAAATTATTCTCCGGACAGTGGAATGGCTGATTCCAAACTGTCTTGAGATCTTTTTATATCCTTCCCAGACTCATATGTGTCACGTTTGGCCGATAGGCGAACCAGGAAGCAGGCGAGCTGAGCCAAACTTACGGGTAGAAGGGGGTTTATTCAGCAAAAGACAATGACAGATCTGACAAGACTGACTAAGACTAGGACTAAATACAAGAGACAAGCCAGAAATAACAGGACACAGGGGATCGCAATCAGGGCTGAACACGAGGTAATGAGGGGGGCGTGGCACACATCGGGATCGTACGGAGCGGGACGTGACAATATGCATCTACATGCTTCTTTCTGAAGGCCTCAGAGAGCTCTTTGGATCTCACCATGGTGATCCCACTCATTTCAACAATCAAGAGCAAACCAAACTAAATGTCTATGGTATAAATAAGACAGATTCCACCAAAAAGCTCTGTGATAATGTTCTAATCATTTTCACCTGATGTGGTGCATCTGAATCTAACTCTAGGCATTTTAAATAATAATTGATATGAGGGTGTCCTAACTTTTTCCTAAGTGGAAATTGGCATCATAGTTAATTTCTTCTGTTAAATAAGTGAATTTGTTTCTTTTTTCTTGCATAGGTGACAGTTACATCACCTTTATCTACACATATGATTTGAAAGAAGATTTAATAGTGATATGTTGATATTTCTTAATTAATAAAGAACTAAACATTTAATGGGGTGTCCTAATTTTTTCACATGACTGTATGTATTGTTGATCAATTAACTGTAAATCTTTAGTTTTGTTAAATCTTTAATTTCAGCTTATTTTCTCTTCAATACCAGAAGCTCTACGGCACCAAGGAAGTGACCCATCAGATCTTCAGTGATGCTGTGACGAAATGGCTTCGATATACACCAGAACGTCAGGGAGATGCAAAGAGAAAATGAACAGTAGTGGGTGTAGGCGGGTTGGGAGCGTCAGTTAGCTCTTCAGTGTTTTTGTAATTATAAAATTATTACCAAATTACTATCATTGTGCTATTTTTCTGTGAATGTATATATAATGTGTTATGAATAATACATTTTCAAGTTGAATATTTGTACATGTTATTTTTTAATTCAACTTTAGAAAGCCCTGCTGGATATAACATAATTTCAACATTAATTAACTTGTGAAACAATTATAACCCTATATTGATTCAACATACACTAATTCAACATTAAATCAATGGATAAAGAAGTTGCCAAACAAGTGCTGAAACAACGTTGAGTCCTTATCTCAAATGGTTGATTTTTCAATGTTGGATAGATAATAATAATAATACATTTTATTTAAAAGCGCCTTTCAAGACACTCAAGGACACTGTACACAACAAATGATAAAAGAACAAACATAAAAGCAATTTACAAAATCTATATAAGACAATCCAAATTAAAAAGACAGAATAATAAAAAAAAAGGTTATATATGGCCTTTTCAACAAGCAAGGTCAATGCTAAATCAACATTGAAGATCAACGTTGTTTCAACCTTTGTTTGATATGGAATCAATGTCATTTTAACATATGTGTGCTATCTGGGCACCTATTAGCTGAACTGAACGTATATATGTATGTGGATTATGTTTATATTACATTTTGATATGGGGACCATTTTCAGGTCCCCACAAAGATCTGTGAATGCAATCAACTAAAAATGCCAAAAATCTCTCATTTTGTTTGGTTACTTATGGATATGGTTAGGGCTGGGTAGGGGTTAAGGTCGTCATAGTTGGGATTAGGGTTATAATCATAGAAATTAATGGATGGTCCCCGCAAAAATATGGATACCTACTGTGTGTATGTGTGTGGATTGGCATCCCGACCCAGGTGAACCCCAGCCTTGTGCCCTACATTGTCAGGAATTTCCTCTAAGTTTCCCAGTAATCTTATTTGGTATCACTGTTTGGATGATGGATGGCTTGATAAAGTGAATTTTCAGAGTGCTGTATGGGTTCGGGTACACGACGGGTGACTCATAAGTTTTTGTGTCATGGGTGAAAAAGATCCTACTATGTAATTTGGGGGTATGGGTGCGGTTGGAACCACTGGTGGACCACGGGTCTAAATGGGTACGCTTAAACCCATTTTAAAAACAGAGGCCTAATTTTTATTTACACAGGCATAGGCCTACATTTCGAATTAAGTACAACATTTGTTATTGTTGGTGCTGTGTGATCTGTGAGCCAATAAAAAATGTTGTCCAACTGATGTAGTTAACTGATTGTAATTCGGTTCTGTTTCGGGTCCCGGAATCTGAAGCGGGTCGGACCGGGTACGGAACTAAATTCGAGCTGCTGTCGGATAACGGATCGAATGCAGTCTTAGGCACTGCAGGTACGGGTTTACAAAACAGGGCCCGTGCAGGACTCTGGATTGGTTCTTCGACCGACTGCAAACCACTTGCGCTCTTTCTCTGGAATATATGGCTCGTGGTTACGTCACACGTCTCAAACTTACGTCATGCAGGAAGTCTGCATCCTTTACCCGGGTAGTAGTAGGGGTAGTGTTCACGAAAATGCTGCTAACAAGGTAAATATAATTCGTAGGTATATAAATATATAGCCAGGTAAAGTATAACAGTATAATATGACAAATACAGATAACTACGTGAGATTCGTGGCTGTTAGTAAGGCCTGCGTTTAAATCGGCCTTATGATTTTACAGGGTTGCCAACTTTGGTCTGCTGGCTGGAGTGATATTTTTAATTGTATACAAGTCTGCGCAGGCACACGCATTTACATGCATGTAACACTTTTATTACATTGTAAATAGTCTGTAGGGTTTACAAACTACCTCAACGATTTTGATATAGCCACTTTTAGGTTTATAATGGAATAATATCGATATGCCGTAAAATTTCTTGCGTGAGCGCGAGGGCCTGAAAGCGTGAGTGTCACACCAGATGCGTGAGTCGGCAACTCTGATTTTGCATGACAAATTATTCTATAGTATTCCATTGTGATAGATTAATGACAACAGTATGTCGGATAACTAGCGTAGCCGCCCAAAGTAAAAATGTTCGTGACATGCTTTTGGAACGTGATCAGGTAGAAGAATGGCTTCAATTCATTAATAATCTCCCTCTCCTTTGGACGTGCGTGACGTCCTTGAAGGTTCCCGTTGTTAAGGGCCGCCTCCTTCGCTACTAGAGCTATGACCATAGCAACCACATCCAGCCATGGCATGGCCCCCGATATGGCGGAAGGTAAACCGGACACACATTTTTTTACTAAAGTTTCCTGCCTCTTTTTGGAATTGTGACGGTAGCTGTCACGTGTGACGCGTTTGTTTTTGCATGAAACGTCTACAGAACATGAACATGAACATGAGCATTCACCTTTGGGGATTATCTCATGTGGATTTGTTTTGGATTGATTTCCATGACTAAATTGACTGCATCCAATGAATCGTGAGTTTAAGCCTGCCCTGGGGGGATAGTGATCCAGGCAGAGTTGCACTGGAGTGCAGCAGTGTGCTTGGTGTGTCATCAGCACCCGAATGTTTTCAGGACACCCACGGCTCTTTTCTTTTGTCTCTGCAGGAAACTCGCACTTGCTCGTCAGCAATGGTGTGTTGGTAACCATGCTCAGTGTGCTCTGCCTGCTCCCAGGCCTTGCTAAAAGCTGCCACTGATGCAGTGCCTGCTGAATGCATGTGTTCCTAATGTGCTTGGGCGTGTGGCGCCAGTAAAACAGCTTTTCCACTAGATCAGCCTTCTCTGTCTCTGACTTACCCTCTACCTGCTCTGTCAGCTGTGTAGCTGTATATTAACTAATTAACAGCAGCACAAATCCAGCCTCATTCACAAAGAGTGTCTGTGCGTGCCTGGCTCTTCCTTTATTTATAATTTCTCCAGAAGGTTTCTCACTCTGCTTTTTGCTGCCTGGTTCAGTGTGACCGTTTATTCCTGTGCTGTTGCTGTTGTTTCCACTGCCCATAATTCAGGCTGAGGGCTGGGGAAATTCTGACTGATTCATCTCTGACTGTTTTCCAGTCAGGAACCGTCTGAGGGAGATTGTGGGAGCGTCAACCAACTGGAGGTACAGCCCTGCTCAACCATTTCATTCCCCTCCTTTGTCACAGGGCTTGTTAGGCAGCTGGCTCTTTCCACTGTACACTCATTTCTGTTCATGTTCGGTGCAGGGTATTACATTGCCCAGGGTTTATGGTAGTGCTCATTTCGATTCTGAAGAAACACTGCCACCTGATGGTACTTTATAGGAAGTGTTATATAATTTGGCCTCCTCAACTTTGCTAAAGAGGAGCAGGGTAATTCTAGTTTCATTTTTTCAGTATTTCTTTCAGTTTTGTTTTGAGTTTTCGACAAGGACATCCATGTTAATTCTAATCTCTTTGAAACACAGTTTAATCTCGCTGGGCCATATGTAATTTTGTCAATTTGATGCGTTTATCGAAGCTACACTTACCATTGATTATTTAGTGGAGGAACATCTGGTAGGCCAATATAGGCTTTTAAACTCAAAAATAGGAACCCCAAATTTTAATTTCTATAATTTTATTTTACTTCGGTTTTGCAGTTTATTTACATTTCAGTTAATTTTTTTGTGTCTCACTGTTTTATTTTCCTTTTAATTATGATTAACGACAAGAATATAGGTGGGGGGAGACGGAAAGCCCCAATTAATATTAGAAGTGGGCACTGTAAATGGCCTACCCTTTGCGGTCTGTATTTAAATGCTAGGACTATTAGAAACAAAATTCATGATTTAGAGGCCTATAATTACATCAGACATTATAGGAATAACAGAAAAAAGATGAATGACAATGATGGAGAAGAATATAACATGCATGGTTACACATTATTCCATAGAGACCGGATAGGCAAGAAGGGAGATGGTGTTGCAGTATACGTAAAAGAAAACTTGCAGGCAAGGGAGCTCACTGATAAAAATAAAAGTACAGAAGCTGTATGGATAAAACTAGAGGCTAAAAACTCAAATGGCCTAGTTGTTGCTGTTCATGATAGAGCACCTAATGTAGCTGCAGAGGAAAGCAGAATGTTATATGATTATATCAGGATTATGAGTAATAAAAATGAGGTGGTGGTTATGGATGATTTTAATTTAACTGGTATACAGTGGGGCTCTTCTGTAAATGAACTTGTTCAGGATAGTTTTTTTTTTACAGGGGAAAGTACCTCTTGGGAAGTTTCAGTCTTGTATCCTCCTCTTAGTTGTCACAGAGTTTCAGTTGCTTGGCTGTTTCCCAGCACCAATGTAGCCCATAATAATCAGAGGTCCATGCCCTATTGCCTAGGGATCACCAGCAGGCTCTGGCAGAGCGGGCATCCCTGGGCTCCCATCTGGCCCCCTCACAGGATGCGCTGCCTGTCCGTCGCATGCAGGACAGTTTGGTTGAGGTGCACCTGCCACTGGGCACCGATCCCAGCCTGAGGGAAAAATACCTGACATTTCACGACACCGTCAGGTAAGACCTTGGCTGCCATAATAGCAGCTGTGCCCACAGACACCTATATCCGCTGTCAGAGCTTACGCTGAGGCCCACTGCACTGACCTCACTCCTGTGGCACCCCCCTCCCCCCAACAGGTTTGGCCGGATCCTTGAGGACCTGGACAGCTTGGCAGGTATCACGCGGCTCTGCCATGAATCCATTTGAATCCATTTGAAAGTTGACAATGGTAGGAATGTACAGTGGTACCTCAGTACTCATTAGAACTCAAATTTCTTAAAAGTCGAACCAGCCAGTTCAATAAAAAATGACCTAAAACTCGACCTGAATCTCAGAAGTCGAACCGTGAACACCGACCTAAGGTAACTTGTATGCGCAGGGAAAGGAGTCACGCGGCACGTCTCTCAGCGGAAACAAAGGGTAAAGCTTCAGTCTCAGCCTCACATTTGCTATGATAGCATCATGCATGTTTACACTAGCTGAATACATACCAGGGGTGCCCAATCTTATCCACAAAGGGCCGGTGTGTATGCGGGTTTTTGCTGCAACTTCCTAATTAGATTACTAATTAGAGGACTGATTGGCTGAACACCTGGGTTTGAACACCTGGGTTTGAACAGCTGACCTACAGGTTATCCCAAAAACCTGCATACACACCGACCCTTTGCGGATAAGATTGGGCACCCCTGATTTAGACAGTAAAAATATATTTAGACATTGATAAACAGTAACAGTAATTATTATTATATAATAAATACATTTAAAATAAAGATTTCTTATCATTTTAATATCATTAATAATAAACCATTAATACATTTAATTATAATATTATGATCGTGTCGATTGGGGATGGAACAGAGACAAGGGCGCAGATGTCAGGGTATCGGGGAATACGGGGTTTAATTACAGGTAAGGCAGGAAAAAAGTACACGGACAATGCAATGACTGGACTGGGGAAACAAACTGAAACGCGGACTAGAAACAGCTGATCACACGGGGATTATACACGAGGTTAGCGAGGGGGCGTGGCACACGAAAGGAGCGGACGATCGAGGCAGGACGCATTGTTTTTTTTTTAACTTTACACATTGTTTGGATACATTTATTTTCTTACTTTACAACTTACTGTTTTGATAAATGTGCTTAGATGTGTTTAGTACAGTATATGCTCTTCTTGTTTGATCCTGTTCATTTTGTGTTTAAATGCTAAAAAAAAAAACATATTTAGGTGTAATTTTTTGGGGCCGGGAACCAATTAATTGGTTTTCCGTTATTTCTTATGGTGGAAAATTTGATCAGAACTCGACCTTTTTCGGATTCGAACCTGAGTTCTGAACGAATTAAGTTCGAGTTCTGAGGTACCACTGTATAATACTTACTCAGATTAAGGAATAATGCATGCCAGATTCTGGTTCTTGACATGTAGCCCACCAGGGCCGGTCTGCAGTGATCATTTGAGTATCATCCAGACAGTTTTTTTATGTTGTGTTGATTCAAGCAGCAATGATTCATGGGAAACTGAGGCCTAGACAGAGGCAGCTTGTACGAGGGTGCATCTGTTTTCCTGTTGAGTTCCCCTTGATCAGCCATCTTACCATCAACCGCATTACTGTCTAACCCCCTACCCCCTTTGGTTCTCTCTGAACAGTACTGATTTGTTACTCCCACACAAGGAACAAGGCACAGTCAAGGTCACCACTGTCCATTGTCACCGCCCTAGTGGACAAGATTGGTACTGTATCCAGGCTTTGACTCATTAAAACATTTCTGTTATACCACACATTTCAATTTCGTGTGAAATGACATTGCTGATTATTGCTGATGATTCACTTAATTCTCTCATCATTCAAGATATGAGGAAGAACATCATCTATCCAGACTGTGACATAAAGTTCACAGGTCATGTGACATGGGTGGGAAAGTCCTCCATTGAAGCCAAGATACATATGTCTCAGGTATCTGCATGTGCTTGCAGTCAAACAGCTGCATGTTAATGTTATATTCTTCTATGAAGCAGAGAATACCTCTTTACCTGTGTGATGTGAGAGGAACGCTGCTCTTAATGTTTCATGACATACACTCACAAGGTTCTGCCTGTCCCTGCAGTTCCATGATGGGGCCTACAGTGCTGTCCTGGATGCTACATTTGTCATGGTGGCACGAGATCCGGAAAACAAGAGGTACAGCCCGGCCCCCTTTGGGGTCCCTCCCCTTCATTTGAATGAATGTTACATTTATATAGTGTTTTTGGGACACCCAAAGCACTTTACAGTACCAACTAGAGCCGGGCGATAAATCGATTTAATCGATTATTTCGAATTTACAGTTCAGGACGATGTGTTTTCATGAAAATCGATTTTATTACTTTTTTTAAACACGAGTGCCAAAAGCGGAACTAATGCGTCGCACCATTCTTCACGGGTAAATTAGCGCAGCGCACCCAAACACTAGCAGATTCACTAACAACATGGCAATGACAGGGGAAAAGCTGGCGCTTGTGCCCAAGAAAAGTGTTGCTACATCTGTAATATGGAATTGGTTCGGTTTTGCAAGGTCGGACACAGACCAAACAAGTCCTCGTTGCAAAGACTTTAAAAACTGTTGCAACCAAAGGA